TTCCTATAGCGCAGGTGCTATTCACACCAAAAGTGCATGGAAAATTGTTAGTAGTTGCTAATCCAGTGCATGAAGAACACTGGATTGCGTCTTTGCCATCGGAAAATTGAAACCTTAAGGTAGTTAAAAAGGCAAAAGTACTCATTATTGGAAGTTGCAAAGGTATTTCAATAACCACCTTCTCTCTGCCTCTGTGTCTGTCTACCACTTCATAAGCCTGGGTCCTTAGCCCGCCTGTCAGTTTGACCAGTTGCGTAGATTCTGCCTGTTCCATCCTTGTTATTTGTTCACTTGTCCACTTGACCGTCTTCCTCTCCACCTACTTGCACACTGACTGACCTAATGCTCTTCTGGCGAATTCCGCCTCAATAAAAAATTTGATATAAGCGCTTTCAAAATTTGCTGTAAATCGTTAGATTGCATTTCGTCGTTCAACACGTGGTCTGGTGTCGTGATGGTACGACATGAGTTTCTGCGGCATTTTTTTTAAAAAGCATTCGAGATGCTTAAAAAATCAAATCCTCTTAAATTGCTCCTCTTTTCCTTAAACCGGACAGTCGTTCAACCGCCTATGAGTGCAGACATGAGTACATCCCCATGGAGCGAATACTGGATCGCCTACTTAGACTCGTCAAGAATTAATGCAATCTGAAGGCTTTTTTCTGCACGCATTTCTAATACTGATTTAATCATTTATTTTTTGTGAAAGTAGGTAACTTTCGGCTTCAAAACAAGCTCAAATAATGATCCTAAGTACAGTATTTTTGGCTACTTATTTTGGGGAGTCAGGGTGATCGGTCATGTGGAAAAGATTTATATGCCACAATATAGCCCAATAAATTCTCTTTCCACCCAAAGAATCTCCTTTAATTGGCCCGACTGGCGTTTTCACACTGCTGCATTGGTCATTCCAACAGCAGCGGCAAAAGAGGCAAAATAGGAGGGTGGTGGCGTAGCGGTGAATTCGCATCACAATAAGTAGTAGGAGCTCAATTTGAATCGAGGGCATAATTGCATACCTCCGTACATTCACGTGGGGTTTCGTATATAGCGTATTATTGTCTGTCTGACAGATTGAGCGTAGCTGTGTGGGAAGGCTTAACTAAAGTCCCCAGTAGTACATAATGTTTGGAACGTTCTATCTACTTCCTCTTCAACATTCAAGCACATGCGCTGTCAATCAAGCACAATTTCGGTCAGTATGCGCGATTACTAGGCGAACCAATCTTGGTTTAAAGGATTCTCTGCTATGATTGCTGTCACCGCAGTGGAACACTTTTTGGACACAGAGGTCTCCGGGGCAATTGTCGGCAGAAAAGTTCAAAATCTTGCGATGCAGTAAACTTCCAGGAATTAAATGTGCTTTAGATCTATCCATCTCAGCAGGTTTCTGTTTTACACTCATTACTTTTAGCACCAGTTGTTAATTTGGCAATGTTCAAACAAACAGTTGCCACACTACAACTTTAAATTTTGAAGATTGTTCCCAAATGGTTATCACAAGGTGTTTGTTTGGTTCTTCTATTTGGTCAGCACAGGCCTCGAGTCAGTTTATCAGCATTGCCGAGACTTGAGATTTCCCTTAACTCTTAGCAAGATAAGCCGGTTTAGACTGTATAAGTAAAATGGGTACGATATATAAACCTTTCGCTTCAACCTCCATTACATTAAAGTGAGTAGATTGACATAATGAGAGCGTCATTTATTGGTACAGTTAAGAAGGGGCTGCAGTGATCAGAAGCCACCTTCGCCTTTAAGGACAAACAATGATGAAGTCGTCAAGAAATTCGTGTTCCCTGACAGCCCTCTGCCAACAAT